TTTATCAGTGATCACATCACAGCATGTGGGGAGCCACCACTTAGGGCCAAAGAGAGAGATAACCTGCTGGACTTCCTGTTTGAGGTCTCCCCCACTCCTTCCCGTTGAGATAACAGAACTTCTCATCAAAGCTGGGAGCCGCTCGCCCGGGCAGCGAGACCAGGCTAGGCGAAGGCCAGGCTTCAGCCAGTTGAGGAGGAGCGCATGGGCTTCCCAGCCCGGGGCCTCCATGTCCCGGAGTGGGCAGCTGCAGGCACGAAAGAATACCCCGTCCGTGAGCCTAGGGCTGAGTGGGAGAGAACAGTTGACCCTGCGAGGCCTCAGTTGGCTTCCTTTAGCACTGGGCCCCTCCTCTCTCCTCTCTCCCTTCTCCCACGTCTGTGTTTGTCCTCTGTTCCAGAGCCAAAAGGCCTCAGGTTACCTGGATGGGCACTGCCTCTGCTGCCCCCAGCAGTTTCCAGGAGCCCTGCCCAGGAGAAGGAGATGAGGGGGGAGGGGCTGAGCCCCAGTGTCACTCTTGCCGTTAGAGCCGCTTAGGGTGTCCCAGAAGCTCCTAGGTTCGCTGTGCATTGTAGCCCTGCTTCCTCCTTAGCACTGCCCTCTCCCCTATTTCTCTATTTCCCATGGTCCTTCAGCTGGAGGAAGCAGTTTCTTTTGATCATTCTTCCCCCAGAAGCTCAAGTAGTTGCCAGACCCTCATTTCCTATGGGCTGGGATTTGAAGGGATTCACAAACCGTTTTTAACTAGCCCCTGACGCACCCCATCTTACGACACTTTTTCCGTATCTCTCACAGGACAGACCATATCGCGCCTGGTACCACAGGTAGGTGTGCGTGTCTTATGTCTCCCTTAGATCAACTGCCACCTCCTACGAGGCACAGATTTTACCTTGTTCACCCTTGTCACCCTCAAAGCCTTCAGCACATTGCCTGCCACCAGGTGAGAGCACAGTTAGTGTGGGCCGGCTGGTAGCTCGCCAGCTAGAGTGCTAGCTGAATGGCTGTTTGACTGGCTGAATGCAGGTCTCTCAGAGAGCTGGAGTTTGTCTTTCCACCAAGAAGCCAGTTTCGGCCTCCTCCTCCCCTATTAATGATCACATAGCAGTGGGTCATTAGGGCCCCCAGGGGGGGAAAATATGAGTCACACCATTATCAGAGGAATGAGGGAGGGCAGAAACATCTCTCCTTGTGCAAGGGTCGGAACCATGAGGCGAGGGAATAAACACAATGGCCTTCACTATCCCCTGGGTCTGTGGCTAATCTAAATTACTTTATGATGGAAGGCAATGGGGTGAGCTGAAAGCTGTTCAACTTGGACCCAGACTCTGGGAAACTATCTAGAGCAAGGCTTTTCTTGCTCAACCAGCCAAAGAGAACAGTTGATCTTTATCAGGTCTGCCTTAGTTTTTCTACTTGAGGATGAACTTCTAAATCCTTCCCTAGAATCCTCCCAGATTAAAAGGGAGGAGGACCTCTCTCAGCCAGCCTCAACCTAAGAGGAAGGGAGGCTCTGTGCCCTAGTTTCCTCAAAAGCCCCTACATTGCGGTGACAGACAGGGGCAGGGGGGCAGCAGCAATCTGAAAAGCAAGGGGCCCTCTTACACCTTCTGAGACAAAATCCCAGACCCGTGTTGCTGTGTGAAGAGTTTCCAAGCTTATGTTCAGACGCTGACACTCTGTGGCTTCAGGGAATTTACTCACCTCTCCGGGCCTCTGTTTTGTCTCCTGTAAAAGACCTGCTTCACTGGGGGTATTTGGAGGATGCAGTGAAATCGTGGATCTGAATGCGCTTTGGCTGCCAGGTGGTGGGTCATCAGAGCCCGTATCAGACTGCTGCCCACTCAGCACAGCAGAGTCAGGAAGGCAAATCCATTTTCCAGCCTCCGCGGCCCCCAGTCAAGGACTCCGGGTTTCCTGGTACCAGAGCAGAGGCATGACCTCTTATTAAACTTCTGTCCAAAGAGCCCTTTCTCTCCACCCTCACTCCTACCTGCCACTATTCCCTCTAAATGGGCTTGGATGCTGCGGTCCTAGCATCTGCAACAAAAAAGGCCCACCTCAGGAATGCAAGTGTAGTGCCTCTTATAACAGGCTCCTGTGCGTTGAGGCCCGCTAGGTCTGGGGACTGGGGAAGCTGAGACTTGTAGGACTCCAATCTTGTCAGTGTAGCCACAGTTAACATGTTTAAGAATCAAGCTTGGTTAATTCCCAGTGAGGTTAGAACAGGGCCAAGTCGCTGGCCTCGCAAACTCCTACACCTCCAGAGGTAGAGGAATTGGAGCTAAGGTGTCATGTCTTATTCAGATGTAAGCCTGGCATCCCTGGGATGGGACAGCTAGCTGGTCCCAGGCTGGCCCAGTGGCCAGCACAGCAGGAGGGGCAGTTCCAAGTGGTTCACTCGGTGAATTGGGTCTGTTCTCCCAGATTCCCCTCACGGGAGACCCGGAGAGCATATGTGTCCCCGATGTTACCTTGCTGGCCACACACGTTGTTTTCCTCAGACAACTTGGGACCTCTGGCAGACTCTTCGTTTTGGCTGTGAATATTGTTGGATCGGCAATGTCCTGTTTTGGGAGTCTGGAGACTGGGGCACTAACACCAGCGGTGTGGCCCTGGGAAAATCTCTTTACTGATGTGGGCCTTAGTTTCCCCATCTGCCAAATGGAGATTTTTCTGATAGTTCTATTTTTAGGTTTTTTTGTGGTATGCAGGCCTCTCACTGCTGCGGCCCCTCCTGTCGCGGAGCACAGGCTCTGGACATGCAGGCTCAGCAGCCATGGCTCACGGGCCCAGCAGCTCCGTGGCATGCGGGATTCTGCCCGACCGGGGCATGAACCCGCGTCCCCCGCATCAGCAGGCGGACCCCCAACCACTGCGCCACCAGGGAAGCCCAACACATAACCTTTTAACAAATAAATGAAACAACTGTTGTGAGACGGGAGGATCCCTGGACGTTATGAAAAGGTTAATGTTTCCCTGGGGAGAGGGGGGTGCCCTGCTTTCTTTCTTTTTATTTTTTTTTTAATTTTAATTTTAATTTTTTTTTTTTTCCTCTCAACTGTTGTGGCCTCTCCCGTCGCGGAGCACAGGCTCCGTACGCACAGCACTCAGCGGCCATGGCTCACGGGCCCAACAGCTCCGCGGCATGTGGGATCCTCCCAGACCGGGTCACGAACCCGCGTCCTCTGCATTGGCAGGCGGACCCCCAACCACTGCGCCACCAGGGAAGCCATAATTTTAATTTTTTAATTGACTTATTTTTGGCTGCGCTGGGTCTCTGTTGCTACGCGTGGGCTTTCTCTAGTTGTGGGGAGTGGGGGCTACTCTTTCGTTGCGGTGCGCAGGCTTCTCATTGCAGTGGCTTCTCTTGTTGTAGAGCATGGGCTCTAGGTGTGCGGGCTCAGTAACTGTGGTTCGCAGGCTCAGTAGTTGTGGTTCGCGGGCTCTAGAGCTCAGGCTCAGTAGTTGTGGATCCCGGGCTTAGTCGCTCCGTGGCATGTGGGATCTTCCTGGACCAGGGATCGAACCCATGTCCCCTGTGTTGGCAGGCGGATTCTTACCCACTGCGCCACCTGGGAAGCCCTGTGTCCTGCTTTCTTAACGTCTCCAGTAAAGTCTAGAATTTTCTATCCACCCAGTGGAGAGAAAGGCCAATTTCCATTCTACCCTCCCCTTCGCCCAATTCCCTCAGTCACACCTGCCCTGTCTGAATTAATTTGTATTAATAAAACAGTTACTCAATCAACAAGTGTTTATTGATCGCCTACTGTGTACCCAGCACTCTTACAGATAGTCTGGGAAATATAGACAAGTCTGAGATATGGCCCCTACCCTCCAAGAGTTTACAATGTACTTGTGAAATCAGTTACTTGCACACGGAAAGATAAGTATCCATCAAAAATTGTGAATGATAGGCATCAAAGAGGGAGTTTTACACTGAGGGTTAGAGGACGGAGGGGTAGGATAGGGACGGAGGGGTAGGATGGGGACAGAGTGGTCAGTGGAGACTCAGTGAAGGAGGGGTGCCGAGCAACTTCTCCAGCATGAGGAAGACTTGGCTTAGGGGAGGAGCTTAAATATAGGCAAGAAGGTAGAACTGTGAAAGGCATGTCACAGACAGTCACTGGGCCCCTCCTGCTGGCACTGAGGTTTGGGGAGGTGTACTGGAGTTTGTCAGAAGCTGGTCATGGTCAAGCTTTCGGTTTGTTCGTGACTCCCACCCCGACCCGCCCCCCAGGGGAAATGGGGCATTTTTAGACCTTGGAGCTGGAACCGGCTGCCTGGGAATCATTCTCGACTCTTCCATCTCAACTGAAATCCCAGGCAGCAGCTCAGCTATCACTCAGATGAGGGCCATGGCACCTTGGGCGTGATTACCCCATGCTGGAGCCCTTGGATGCCTTCTAGCAGCTCTACCATATCTGGTAAAAGATGGTGGAGAGAATATGAAGGTGGCTGACAGGGGGCCCATCTGGGGCTGTGGTCTTTCAGAGACTCTGCAGTGCTCTGTGGGCAGACCCCGGGGGCCTGATCTCAGCCTTTGGGCTGATTCTCCGTTAGGCCTGAAGACTCTCTGGGGGCTGCCTCTCTGGCCCAATAGAAATACCCACTGAGGTTCCCACACATGTCCACCCAGCTTCTTAGATACCCAAGTTCTTATTCTCTCTCGGGCAGCATCAAGGAGTGGTGCCTTCCTGAGTCCCCAGCTGCTCCCATGCTGTCATCCCCCAGCCAAGGGCCATTTCTACAAAAACCAGTTTCTGTTCCTAAAGAAACCATTGTGTAAGCCCTTTAACCTCGTTGTTAGCCAGGTCAAAGGGAGGCAGGGGCTTCAGTGAACATTGGAGCTGGAGCTTCTGAGGGAGTTCCTCAGTAGAGTCAGAGTCTGCTGCCACCTTGAGCGTTCCACCACAGTTTCTTTCCTCGTGCTTTCCTCTAGGCGGGGGCTAGAGCCCTGGGCCATGATTCTGCTCTTTTTTGGGGGGGTCCTCGGCTTCTTCTCCGAGGCTGCCCTCCCCCTCTCATTCTACACCCAGCTGCTCTCTGTTCCCTCCGTACTGTGGGATGGCTTTATTTCAGTTCATACGCAAACCAGTCTAGACACTGTGGAGTCATAACAAGAGTGGGATGGATGAGGCTCCAGGGCCCATTACTGGCCAATCAGTTTCTTTGCAGGGAGGCTTGAGAAGGAGGTTAGCGCCATGCCCATGGAACCCGCCACTTCTTCCCACCCACCCCCATCCTCCAGCAATGAGCTAAGAGCCAACCTCAGCAAGAGGAAGGGTCTTTGATCACAGAGAGGGTCAGTCAGTGGCATGTGATTAGTGGGTTTGGGGATGGATTCCCAGGCAAAGCAGAAGGTAAAGGGGAGACTCTGGGGCCTGGCCTCAGGGGGGAGTGGAGTGGAGCTGAGGGTTGGGGACTCAGGGTGGGAGATGGGGAGCCAGGATGAAGGAAACAGAAAGTCTGACTTGACAAGCATCTTGACAGTTCAGCCTGCATGCTGTCACACCAGCTCCCATTCCTGCCTTTGCTCGATCCAGTGGCCAAAGTCAGTCTATCCTCAGCAGCACCTTCTGACACAATCCAGTGGCAACGTCCCTCACCTGTGGCCCTGGGGGAGGCTGTCTACTGGTTTTCACAGACCCAGCCACCCCCGAGCTCTGGCCCCTGGTCCTTCACACATACCCTGTCAGGCTGTAGGAGTTAAACTCACTCTTGCCTTTGGGTGGTTGACCAGGCCTTGGAGAGCTCCTAGTGGCCAGGGGCTGGGCCTGGTAGGCATCGTAGTAGTTGGACCGATTTCCCCGGGGCGAGCAGGAAAAGCAGAGGATGGTTCCAGCTACCAGGGAGAACAGGGAGGAAATAATGCCCAAGTAAAGAGCCTCTCCGATCTCAAATTTCATGCTGTCAGGCACCAGTGGGGAGTAGAAGTCCCGCAAGATCCCGTGAAGATTCCAGGCCACAGGGATGAAGCCCAGGAGGCCTCCAAGGATGAAGAAGACTCCGCCCACCACCGCCATTCTGTCTTTGGCTCGGGACTCTTGGCAGAAGACTGTGCATCTCATGCCCACCACAGAGACAATGCAGGCCAAGGAGGAGATTGCACTGGATGTCACCATCAAGGCCTGGGCAGCCTGGATGTCAGCAGGCAGGCCCAGCATGGTGCTGTAGATGTCACACTGGGTGATGCCTGTGCTGTGTGTGGCACACTCCATCCAGAGGCCCTTGGAGAAGCCGACTGCGGTCACGATGCTGGCACCGACGTAAGAGCTTGTTCGCCAGCTGGGGAGTAGCATGGCAACCAGGGTGCCCAACAGCCCCAGCAGGCCCAGGATGTAGCCCACAAGTTGGAGGCCAAGAGAGGCCATGGCAGACCTCTCAGTAGATGCGTCTTCAGGGCCTGCTCCCTCGTCTTCTGGCTGTAGCTCTTCCTCCTTAGATCCCGGCCTCTAATCCCTCATTTCAGAGTGTCTGTGCCAGGCCGACTTCTCTCCTCCTTACAAGTGTGTGTGGGTGGCCACGAGCAGGCTCAAGAAGGCATCTAGAAGACCTAAAAAAAATCCATAAACCAGATTAAATATTGACCAGAAGCTTATGAGAAACCAGAAAATGCTGGATGCCTTTTGACCTTTGTTATCTTTAGAAATAACACATGAGAAAGAAAAAAAAAAACTTTGAAAGTGGAGCCAAAATGTCATCGGCTCCTGCGTAGGTACATGCTTTAGATTGGCAGCCGGACAAAGCCAGGGGCCAGACAGGTGGCTGCTTTCCGAGAAGGTGGTGATGCCATTGTCGGTTGTGGTGACCGTGTTAACTCCAGGTCAGGCTGTAGGCTGGCTCCGTCTCCAAGGCATGCTGTTTAACGCATTACCTGGCAACAGTGCCACAGGGCCCCTCAATTGCACACCGGTGCCAAACTCCAGGAGACTGGAGTAGGAGAAACAGGCCCTAAGGTATAGCCTTGGACTCTAGGTTCTTAGAGGCCTCTTGAATCTCCAGCAGCCTAGAGAGCAATGGTCTAGCCCTGGGTCATCCTGCCCATGGTGAAAGTTGACTCCAGGGCAGGTTGAGGCAGGCAACGAAGCATCTGTCTACACTCTCAGAGTTCAAGTCCTCCCAGCCCTGCCCAAATCCCCCTCCACAGGCTAGCCTGAGGCCTCCCACATGTATAACACACCCAGACATTTCCTGTCTGCTCTCCTAATAGTTGCACCACCATCCCTAGGCCTCTCTGGTGATGTGGGAGGATTCAAGGTTCAGAAAAGGTTGTTCCAGGGCCCAGAGGGAGCCCTGACATTCCCCAGGCTATTTGTTAGGGGCACTGAGACAAAGGAAAAGGTAGCTGCTCTAGAATAAGGGGAGTTGGTAAGAGGCAGGCATGTGAGTCAATCCTTTAGAATCTCAGAGCTGTTCAGGATTTTGCAGTGTTCAATGAGCGTCCCCCTCTCACCGCCCCCAACATTTATCAAGGTTCAAGACACTAAGGGTCAAGGGCACATCCTTCTCTCCATCCACTACAAGACCCTCCAACCCACTAGTTTTTCAAGCCACCACAAGCTGGCTATTCCATTTTAGCCTTCTTCAAGATTTCTCTTTCTGTAATCATCTCTTAAATGTGAGTATTCCTCAGAAATCCATCCTTTGCTCAATGTACACTGTCACTGAGCAAACTATCCACCCCCATGACATAACCTCCTACCCACCCACTGGCACTCCCAAATCTGCATAGACCTTCCTCTTGAGCTTTGGAGACTTCCAGAGCAATCACCTATTTAAAATGTCCACCTGGGGGCTTCCCTGGAGGCGCAGTGGTTGAGAATACACCTGCCGATGCAAGAGACACGGGTTCGAGCACTGGTCCGGGAAGATCCCACATGCCGCGGAGCGACTAAGCCCACGCGCCACGACTACTGAGCCTGCGCTCTAGAGCCCGCGAGCCACAACTACTGAGCCCGCGTGCTGCAACTATTGAAGCCCACACGCCTAGAGCCTGTGCTCCGCAACAAGAGAAACCACAGCAATGAGAAGCCCGTGCACCACAACGAAGAGTAGCCCCCGCTTGCCACGACTAGAGAAAGTCCACGCACAGCAACAAAGACCCAAAACAGCCAAAAATAAATAAATAAATAAAATGCATTTTAAAAAATAAAATAAAATGTGCACCTGGAAATTTCACAGGCATCTCAAATTGGACATGTTCAAAAGAAGGCTCATCACCCCTCCCCTTGTACCCCTCCCCAAACAGTTCTTCTGTGGGTTCCCTGTGGTCACTGAGTGATACCTCTATTTATCTCCTTGCACCAGACCCAAATCCTGGAAGTGATTCTTGACACCTCTCTCACACTTACCACTCACCTTCTACTGTCACAGTCTCACCAATTCTTGAAGATACCTCAAATCGATGGCATCCTTCTCTCCATCCCCACTGCTACCTCCACAGTCCAGGGCTTCATCATCCTCTCTCCTCTGGGCTATAGCAACGGTTTCTTAACTGGTCTTATTTCCAGTCTTGCCCCCTCCAATTCGTTCTCCATGCTGTTGTTAAGGTGATCTTTCAGCACTAATCTAATCAAGTCTCTTCTCTACATACAACATTCCAGTTGGCTCCCCATCGGCTAAAGGATAAAGTCCAAACGTGTCTGGACTCTATGACCTGTCAAACTTCATCTCTTGCCATTGCCCTCCGCATGTTCTATGCTCTTGCTGAACTAAGTTACTTTGAGTTCCTCAATCACTTCCTGTTGCCTTTTGCTTCCAAACCTGACCACAGGTTGTTCCTACTATGCAGAATGCCTGGCATTCTTTTCTCTCTGTTTAGCACCTTCTCATCCTTTAGGACTCAGATGTCTTTTACTCTAGCCTGGGTCAAGTTCCCATCCTCTGTGTTCTTATGGTATCTTGTCTTTACTTACCTCCATCATAGTAATGCTACTACTACTAATACTACTAATACAATAGCAACACTAACATAGTGTATCCTATGTGACCATTATAAGCACTTTATACATGTTAATTCAATCATCACAACAACGTCTTGTGGTAGGTACTAATCCCTATTGTATAAATAAGGAAACTGAGATACAGATAGTACTTATTTCACTATGTTGCACTCTCCTCTTTATATCCTTATTCTTCCCCACTAGTCTGTGAGCTGCTTGAGGGCAAGGACTGTATCTTATTCACCTCTGTATCTCCAGTGCCTTGCACAGTGCATTACCCACCCATTACACACCCGAAGCCAGTGTTCAAAAATGTCCTCTTAATGAGTAAATAAAAGTGATAAAGAGGTTTCAAGGACTGTAAGATATAGACTTTCTAAATGAGTCAATGACACTTCAGTGTAAGAGACCAGGGCTGCACAATATTGGGAAAGAAGATTGAGAGAGAGGATCAGAGGAAAAGAAGGGAAATGAAGAGGGAGTGGGGAACACAGGAGAGAAAGAGAGGCGTGATGGGAGGAAAGAGAGAGAGAGAGAGGGAGAGAGAGAGACGGAGTTTCACCATTTTATAGGTTTGTGCATATGTTGACTATCTTGTCTCTTCAACCAAATTCTAAACAATTTGAGGGAAGAAATCATATATGAAACCTCTGTTGTGCCTCCACAGCATTGGGCACGTGGTTGATGGTCAATACTACTCATCAGTGATGGATATGACAATGCCAATGTGGATGCCAAGCAGTGCAGAGCAGGGTCAAGAAAACATTTGACGGGAGGTATGGAGGGAAATCTACTTGAATCTCATCTCTGTCACTCATCAGTGGGGACACTGCACGTCTTTTCCAGCCATTGGTTTTCTTACTGCTAAAACAGGCACAGTTCTACCTGATCATGACTGTGCATCTCTGTGGGGCCTTCAGAGCTGCTTGGAAGTCCTTCTACTTGTCCCTGGTGAGCATCTGCTGGTGACCACTTCAAATGCCTACCACTCTCTTTGAGCTTCCTACTCTACCTATGTGGCTACGACGCCCTCCTCATCATTCTCTTTGCAGCCAAGGTTCTTAAACAAGCCATTTAATGCTGATGTCTCTACTTCTTCCCCCTCCCACTCACTGCTCAACCCTCTGAAGGCAGGCTGCTGCCGTTAGCCCTCCACTGAAAATGTTCTCACTAAGGTTACCAACAATGTCCTTGCCCCCAATCCAGTGGTCCTATCTCTGTCATCTCACCTTGTCCCTCTCCCTCATAAAACTGTCTTCTCGTTTTCTGCAACATCCCTCCCAGTTTTCCCTGCTCCTCAAAATGATTCCTCCAGGGTCTCCTCTATAACTTCCTCCTTTTCTACCCACTCTATAAATCTGACTATTCCCCCACCCCAGGGTTTCAGCTAGAGTTCTCTTCTTATTCTTTACATCTTCCATGGGTGACCTCATCCACTCCATCTCCATGCCAATGACTCCTGAATCTATATAACTGGCACGGATCTCTCTCCTGAACTCAAGATGTGTGTATGCAACTGCCTTTGGAATGAGCCCATCTGAACGGTTTAATGGCACCTCAGACTCAACATTTTGCAAAGTTGAAATCATATTCACTCTTCTCTCTCCACTCCCAAACTATTCCTCACACAGAGTTCCCTATCTCAATGGGACTATCACTCATCCAGCAACCCAAGCCAGTCATCCTTGTTTCCTAACCTCTACTTGACCTATAACCAGTTATGAAGTCCTATCAGATCTACCTTCAAAATACATCCTGAATGCATCCACTTCTTTCCATCTGCACTGCCTAGACTTTGGTTCAAACCCTGTATTATCTCTGTCCAGTTGGAAATCTCACAGGCACCTCAAATTGGTCTCTCTAATTCTACTTCTGCCCCGCCCCTGCAATCAATTATCCATCCAGCAGACAAGGATCTTTCTAAAATGGAAATCGAATCATTAGTATCACCCCAGCTCTTTGCCATGCTTAAAAAACTTCAGGACCTCTTCATTGCTTTCATGATGAAGTTCAAACTCTCTAGCCCTGGAAACCAGGAAAGCCCTCCAATGTCTGACTCCTGCTTTTTGTTCCAGGCTCATCTCGCACCAATAACCTCCACCCTCATGTTTTATGCTCCAGTGTGCATGCGCGCGCGCACGCGCGCACACACACACACACACACACACACACACACACACACACAATCTAACCATACCTGAACATGTGTCCTTATCTGAAGTTGCCTTTCTCTGTGTCTCCAAACCCTTAAGCATGCTATTCAACCATCCAACATTTGCGTGGGTAATTGCTAGTCATCCTTCAGGACTCATCCTCTCCTTGAAACCTTCCTTTAACCACTCTTCCCACCCAAGCTGGCTTAAATACTTTCCCTTTGTACTCCCTATCCATATCTGAGCTTTCAGTGAGGGTTGGTGAGCTGCCTTGAGGACTTGGGATGGTGACATAAGAGCCCAGCTTAGGTTTCCCATGGGAGTCGACAGTGACCCCCAAGAGGAGAGCCTCTCCCCAGAGCCAGTCCTGACTCGGTAGGAGGAAGTAGGAAAGTGGTTTGGGGCAGGGGGAAGGCAGAATTTTAAAAATGCCATCACTGAGGCTTGGAATCTCTAA